AGTCACGACTCGGGTGTTTATGAGTAGGGAGAAGTGGGGCATTCACTGCAAGAGGTCAAGACGATTGAAAATTGACATCGTGAACCTCCGTCTAATGTGTGACACACACTTCTTTGGAGTCTGTTTTCGTTAACGCTTGGTACCTGAAGATATATTGTGGAATAATGAAACTCACCTAAGGAGGGCGCTTGCATTTTATGGCAGGATTTTGTAATGACCAAGCACATACCAGGATTCGCCCATTCAGAATTTTTGATTGCTACAACGTCCAGTTACCGGTAGTACCTAGTTTCTTCAGTACTTCGAACTAGCCAAAGCAATCGTGAGGAAATCATTTTTCCTTTTATGAGATATGGGCCAAAGGCAGGGGGATAAGGGGAAGTATGAATTCGAAGATAAGAATAGTGGGTGTCTGACGTTTCGGGCTGAAGGGTCACTTTTCTACTATTGATAACCACTGTATGACAGAATCAAATGGAATTTCCGGTAGATTTGCCAACCGAAGGGCTTTTTTCGGAGTCGATTTTCCTCTTTTTTTCTGACTTACCTGCTTGTCAGCACCCGCCGGTGAGGCCATTTTCTATGCGGGAAATTCATCACTGTGAATTCTGTTGCAATCACTGTCACTGCGACTACGTCGGAGAAATCAGATGAAAGTTCTGACTGCACCCTCATAAGCCCAAGTTCGCGGCACGAAAAGCGGACCCTGGTTTTCAGCTGACAGTCCAAAACCGAGGGCCTGGTTTCCGAGGAAGAGTCGTTTCGAGTCGATACATTTTGAACACCGAAACTCTCACACCTGAGACGTGGTTTAAAATAGGGTTTGAACCAATCAGCACATCGCCTTCCCCAAATCTATCATGTCTCGTGCCATTAACATCAGACGATTAGGAGAAGGATAGTATTGGTTGGCCCAGCGAGAATAACACTGGCGTTGGCCAGTGACGACCAACTAGGTAGTTAAACCGCAAACGACTAACCCACAGGCTGAGCCCCATTCTCCCATGCTCTGTGTAAACGCGTAAGCAAGCCGTCATTACTATCACCTCAAACAGGCGGCCATAATTAGCGCGAGGAGTGCAAATCTGCAAAAGCAAATCGGAAATACGTCCTCCTAATCTGGGACACCTTCAGGATGCCTGCTTTCGAAGGGACTTCTTGCCGGCTGCATGCAAAAACTGAAGTCTGTGAAAAATGACTACTCACTGAGCAAATCCACTGCTACATTTTATGAATCCCATGTAGTCTCCTCTTAAAACCGCAGTCAAACGTGTGGTTTTCCATACCAGGAAAATATACAGCATGTAGATTTTAAACCCTGAATGCAATTGTAACAGCAGGCCATATTCAAAATTATTCGGGAATCGGAAGAGTTTCTGAAAACCGGATTATACCCCTTCTTCGAGTATACAATTGAAAGGAAACGTAATTTTCTACCGGATGAGCAAAAGCGTGAATATTTGTATGCATGTTTTCCATGAAATATAGTTGAATCTTTAAGGGCATCGAAAATCAATTAGAAAAATTCATACTACGTAAGTAGTTATTTTGTGCCGAGTGTAATTTTGCCTGCGGCTGGAAATAGCTTCGTTCGAAAGCTGGCATCTTGAGGTAACTGAATCATTATTTACTTATGCTGCATGATGATCAGCTTTACAACCCTACTCAATTAATCTTTTCGAAACGAAAACGAATTTTGGAATTTCTGTTGACATTTCATGAGGTATCCCACCTACTGTACGTGTCACAGGGAACTTTTTGATTTCTTGATGATACTGTGAGCACGTCATGCGCAGAAACGCATAATGTCTGTTTTTTCTTGGTCAGATGCTCAATAGCCGAATAAACTGTTTAATAAGTGATGTTCATTAAATTGCCTAAGTACCGAACTGCCGCGATGGTTCACAGGGCAAAGGTTAAGTATATTCGCGGGACAAGAAAATGCCAGCTGTTGTTTAACGAATTCACCAACGTTTTGACACACCTGCTTTACTGGCAGACATATGCATTCCATCTAACAATATTTCGAGTATTTTTTTACTATCTGACTGCTCTCCATGCCGAGCTTTTTCCCAAAAATGAGCTTTCTTCTTTCTAAAAAATTACATGTGAGGTTGCCAATGTAGAAATTTCAGCAGTGTCGACTCCTCGGAACGGTACAGGTCAACGAAGGACCGACCAAAAACTCTACCGAGCAACCTTTACTCTTAAAAATATTGCAGGCAATTCCCCATAGGTTTTTTCCCTATCCCGCGCATATACTTAACCCTTACCGTTCAGAGGATGGTTATTTGAATGCAAAATGATAAATAGGCATGCATCTTGGCCACGCCTAATGAACAGGTTTTTGCTGCCTCAAACGTCGCTTTTCAATGTTTACAGCCTACTCTACGACTTGCTGCCTTGGTAAAAAAATAGGCTAGCATGCATTTTGCCGAGGCAAGCAAACAAATAATATCAGAGTCTAAGAGCATCATAATTGTGTCCGAATTCTGGGACACTGAAAACGACACTCATTACTCCGAAACGCCAGAATTTCACAGTTAATGGCCCTAATACTGAAAAATTTAAATGCTATTTCCGCCGGCGAAAAAGACAGGAGAAGGTCATTCGCATAAATATGTATGAGCGAGCCGTTATTTGGGGCGTAGCACAAAAACCAACGTTCCAACTCAAATCAGTCGCATGCAATCAGCATTTTCTGGTCCGATGTCCATCCAGATGTCTTGGTGGATTTCGTTTGATGACATTCTAAATGATGAAGTTTTACGTTTGTAGTCGCAGTTCGTTGGACCACTTGCTACCTAAGTAGTATGCCTTTTCCCTGTCAATTTTCGATGGTCTTGTAAATGTAAATATATTTTATATAAACCGCAGAAAATCCTGTAGTACACTCATTTGGTGGCAACTCACGTCTTCTTCAATTTTTCTGCTTGAAGAAAGGGTTTCTTTTAGTTTTAAATAGTTTCTAGTAATAAGATTCTAAAAGACCTTGAAATGCCCATTTATAAAGCATTGTAGCTGTCCCTCTGACAATGTCGCTTGTAAAGTGCCTAACCTAGTTCACCTCCATTGTGAAATTTTATGAGCCGCACATAACACCTCTCGAATGGCGCAGAGAAGTGTATTATTTTCCATACATGGCTGCTATGCAGCATGGAATTCGAAAACCCTTAATTCAAGTGTAGTGCCAGGTCGGATTCAGAATTGTGCTGGAACCAGAAACACTTTGTAAAACCGAAATATTTCCTGTTTTAAGCAAAAACATCAAAGAAGACGTAATTGGTCACCAGATAAATGCACAATAGAACTTTTTACGCGTGTTTCCTATGCTATGTTTATGAATTTATAAGAGCATCGAAAATCAACGGGAAAAGGCACGTTACTTAAGAATTCATTCTTTACAGAGCGTGTTCTTCGCAGGCGGCTGAAAAAAAACTCGCGAGTGAAACATCCTAAAACCATGTTACACAATAGTTGATATTTAAAAAAATTCGGTTTACATTTCATTTCATGAATTAGTCACGTTGTATGGTCATATACTCCAGCGCCGTTTTTAATTGTACCGGTGTTTGATAATTCCAGCAAATGCCTTCTCAATCTGTCAAGAATGTCGGCGTTTTAACGTCCATGAAACAGGGGAACCACAATGCATGGTGTAGTCGGAACATAAAAATTAGGAAATCTTGAATTCATTGCTCAGACCACTATCAGTGAGTCAGCGCCCACGTTTCTGCTGACTTACCTTACTCTTACTCCAAACTGACCAGTCGATTATGCCCCATGACAACGAGTCACTCTTCCGTTTTGAAATCTGTTTCAGTCACTAAATTTTATGATCGTTGGTATCTTAACCCAGAAAGATCCCACCGAACCACCTGAAAGTACTAGGACAAGGTCTCCTATCAGCGGCAGAAGTGAACGCAGTCAAAGACTCGAGCGACGAAGAATTTCATGCAGGCCACATTAATCTGCTAAACGCATACGTTTTTCAGCACCATCGTCGGCCTTCCCCCCCCTCCCCCCCCCATTCCAACCCCCTCCTCACTAACATTAATATCACTGTCGGACTGAATTATTCTGACCGTGTGAAGGCGAACGTTTGAGTTCCAGGCATATGCAGAAATGAAGAAGAAGAAGAAGAAGAAGAAGAAGAAGAAGAAGAAGAAGAAGAAGAAAAGAGGGGTCGAGCACCGGAACATTTTTCTTATTATTCTGAGCTTTCGAAGTCGTGCAGGAGTCCATTGTCAGCAATAGTGACAGCAACAAAACAGACGACGATTATAGGGCGTGTAAGCCAATCATCGACCGACGGTGCAAGGCTGGAGGTGACCGCGTAACGCTCTGTACGTCGGCACCAGATCGACAAATCGATTGACTGAGTTCTCATCCGAGGCCCAGGCTTCCATCAACTTTCGGCCGCTTTTGTTTTCGACGTGGGCGACTATTTTGGTGGCTGAGAGGTTAAGCACTTGACACATTTCGTAGGTGTGGGCGACCACTTGTGATACTACGTCGCCTCGTCGCACAGCCAGCTTATGTTCGTGTATACGCGATCCGATCATGCGCTCAGTCTGCCCTGTGTAGTTACAAGGACAATTTTGACACGGAATGCGATACACTACTCCAGATCGCTCTTCAGGCTTTAACCGGTCTTTGATTTTCATGACCCTATTGCGCATGGTGGCTTTGGGGCGGTGTGCAATTCCAACACCTAACTCCTCAGCAATGCTCTCGGTCGCTGCCGAAACGCCCTTGATGTATAGCAGAGAATGCCATATCGTTGGTGGTGTTGATGTTCGAGTTCCCTGGTGGCGACCGCGTAGGCAGCAACTTATGAATGCCCTCGGATAGTCATTTTGCGCAAACTGATCGCAGGGATAACGGGCCTCACGTGTTCTGTTCTGCGGTTCGCCGCAATGAATTTGGATCCGTTTTAAGAGCGTCTTCACACAGCTTCGTTTGCGAGCCACCGGATGGTTGCTGTGAAAACTAAGAAACTATGCGGTATTCGTTGCCTTCCTATAAACCGTCGTTTCAAGTTCACCGTTAGGGCTTCGTCTAACAAGCACATCCAGGAAGGGCAACTGCTGTTCCTGTTCTTCTTCCCTCGTGAATTTTGTATCAGGGAAGACTGTGTTGAACAGGCTGTGGAAATGTTGCAGCATGTCCTTCTTTACGATGACGGACGTGTCGTCCACGTAACGGCGCCAAAACACCGGTTCATGTTGGGTGAAGGCAATCTTTTCTAACTCCTGTAGGACTAGTTCTGCCACTAAACCGGAGACCGGTGAGCCCATTGGGGTTCCTTTGACCTGTTCATAAGTCTCTCCCGCAAAAGTGAAGAAGGTTAGTTGGCAGAATTCAAACAGTCTCATGAGGTGTTCAATTTTGAGTGCATTCCGAGTTTCATCGTACGCCTCAACTTCGCAGCCATCAAAATGGTCGCCCACGCCGGAAACAAAACAGGCCGAGAATTGATTGAAGCCTGGGCCTCGGATGAGAACTCGGTCAATCGATTTATCCATCTGGCGCGGGCGTACAGAGCCCTGCGTAGTCTTGCGCCGTCAGTCGATGCTTGGTCTACATGCCTTATAACTGTCGCTTGTTCTGTAGCTGCTACTACCTCTGACGATGGACTCCCGTACGAGTCTGAGGGCTCAGGACAATAAACACAGTGTTCCGGTGCTCGACTTTCCTTCAATTAGGCATACACCTGTAATTCGAAATTTCGCCTTCATTCGTTTTTGATTCTGCCATGCGGCACGATGCCTTACCAACAGGGGACGGAAAGAGGATCTGTTTCCACTTCTCGTCAAATTCTTATGAAATGTTGGAGCGCAGGCGAGTTCTGCAGAAATTCAAAAATGAGTCATTGAGAAACGCTAAGAGGAAACAGGAACCCAAAATTAAGCACGCCTCGTCATGCGAGTGGCGTGGGGGCGATGGATGTTAATAGTACCTGAATCACTTATAAGCCCTGTAACTTCGCATAACTTAAACTTCTATGAAACCGTTTTCGCCTGATGAAGAGTTACCGGAACCACGAGTTTGCCAAATTGACTTTTTAAATATTATTAGTAAAGTTATTATTGTACACGAAAGACTGAGGAAAGGTTTCGATGAGCTGTCCCGGAAGTGCTGCAGTGGTGGTGTATGACTTGTGCTGAAGTTAGTGGTAGTAGTCGTGGATGACTCAAGTATGACACATTGTAAGTCGTTTGTCGTCGCACTGCAGTTATCAGCGTGTGAGTGCAAGTTGCAGAGTTCCAGACCGCAGGACGTGCCGTGATAGCTCAGTCGGGAGAGCGTTAGACTGAAGATCTAAATGTCCCCGGTTCGATCCCGGGTCGCGGCAGCCGCATTTTCGCATCGACATCCTGATGGTACCGCGGTTCGCCCAAATGAGGATTGGCGGATTTTACCCGTTGCAATTATAACAAGCAATGTCCACGGCCTTGCGCACCCGGTGAGATATTAGGAGCGAATGACTATCATGCCTGGTTATTTAGCTGTTAGTATGGAAACATACGAACGGCTTCAACATTTGTGTGAATAATAAGTGTGAAGGCGAAATTTCGAGCTCCAGGTGTATTCATAAGCTAAGAAGAAGAGGGTTCGAGCACCGGAAGACTGTGTTTATTGTCCTGAGCTTTCAGACTCGTGCAGGAGTCCGTCGTCAGAGATAGTAGCAGCAATGGAACAAGCGACAGTTATAATTATAACTGTGTATATGCCTTAAGGCATATAGGCCAATTATCGACCGACGGCGCAAGTTGCGCAGGGTTCCGTACGCCGGCGCGCCAAATACCGTCCCGCCAACTGCCGGCCCGACAAAGGAGGTCTGCGATTGATGAGGCGATCTACCTACTGGAAGGTGAAGGCATTTCATCGCCAGTAATTTATGCATAAATTACGCTATCATACCTTTCAGGAGCCGCAGGTGGACGCCGATGATTCATTCGACACCATCCCCCTCGGTGACGACACCTTAACTACAGTGCCGAAAGCTAATGCGCAGGAAGATATCCTGCTGCTCATGTGCAAACACATGCGTGCACAGTCAATGAAACTAGACATTCTGGTGGAGACTGTTCGCAAATTACTCGGCCGTCAGCGGCTGTTAGAATCAATGATTCAATAGCATGCTAAAACCTCGGGACCGGTAGCTTCTCAGCTGCCGAGGAACCCGCTCGACCACCACTTACGGTCTGCAGCCGAATTTCGTCATTTGAATGTCCAATTACTGGACAAGAGCTTCCGACAGGAGCTGGTAAGCCACCATATTAATCACACCCTATTGCGTTAGACCTCCTTCCTTACATGCCTTGGTGGGCAGAATATTGACGAATTCGTCAAGCGAATTTTCTTCGCAGTCTTCGACTATGAGATCAGCCTTTACGTCAATTTCAAAGGCAGAAAGACGAAAGAGAGCCTCTGCGGTACTAAATTGTATGAGGTTATACTTGGTAGGTCTGCCGTTACTTACAACTATACAACATGCAGAAGTCTTCGGAGCGTGGAATACCGATTCCTCCGTAAAGCTGTCTGACCTTGAGTCAGCACTTACGAAGCGGCTGAAGAGGTCGCTCTACAGTTGTGTCCAGCGGCGGAATAAGTCACAACTGACGTCCAATGGCAGTGGTAAATTAATTGTAGTTTTCCAGTAATGGATTTTAATTTCTAGACAATATACCCGGATCATCTACTGATTCCTCGCCTGCGTCACCTATGTGAACACAGAAGGGGTTCAGCATTGTACATATTACTTTTAAATTTTTTAATAAACTAATTACAATACAACCGTCTCCAGTGTACCTATGGGTAATAGGGGGGTAATATACATACAACAAAGAATGGATGGGGGTGGAAAAGGGAATTGGGATAAGCAAACGATTCCACGCGTAACATATTACCCCCCCCCCCCTTCTCGCCGTTAGCGTAGTATCTCGATTAAACGATATCTAATAGATATCTATGGTTGCGTCAAAACAGATATCTAATCGATATATACATACATTGATAAATATATATCTAATAGATATCTACTCGATATAGTTTGCTACTAGGGCGCCAGATCGACAAATCGAGTGACTGAGTTCTCATCAAAGGCCCAGGCTTCAATATTGAATTGATATCAATTCTCGGCCTGTTTTGTTTCCGGCGTGGGTCAGGAGCTCCTGACCCATTTCGTAGGTGTGAGCAGCCACTTGTGATAATGCGTCACCTCATCGCACAGCCAGCTTATGTTCGTGTATGCGCGATCCGAGCATGCGTCCAGTCTGGTCTGTGTAGTTGCAAGGACAACTTTGACACGGGATGCAATAAGCCACCCCAGATTGCTCTTAAGGTTTTAAACGGTGCTTGGTTTTCATGACCCGGCCTATTGCGCATGGTGGTTTTAGGGAGGTGTGCAATTCCAACACCTAGCTCCGCAGAAATGCGATCGGTTGCTTCTGAGACGTACTCGATGCAATATCGTCCGTGGTGTTGTTGCAACATGCTTGAGTCGTCCTGGGGCGACCGCGTAGGCAACGACTTGTGAATGCCCTCGGATATCCATTTGGCACAAACTGGTCGTGGAGATAAGGCACCAGATAATCCGTAGCCGTTGGTATTTCATCTCGGCAAGACAAACAGCCCAGGATTTCAGGTTGCTGGACTCAAAAGTCGACTCCGCGACCGGGAATTGAACCCGGGTCTTCCACGTGACAGGCGGAGATACTCACCACTATACTATCGCGGAGACGACAACTGGCTTCCAATACGTTTACAGGACTAGCTAGCTAACCGTCTGGATTTTCGGCGAATGAGGTTGTCGAAAGAAATTATTCCGGTCAATAAGTGCTGACTTCCACGAAACGTTCTCGCATCTTAAAATCACGACAAACCGCCGAAGCATCGGGTTTAAGGTGTCTGCTGCCAATTTCCTCCGCATAAATTGAGGAAGCAAACGAAATACTGAGTGTTCTTGTCAACAAATTTTCCGTCTGGTAAGGCCAGTCCATATTGTTTTTACGGGATTAGAGCGCTGTGTGCGTGATTCTGACAGTTTTAGTTATCCCATAATTCCTACTTCCCATTGGTGCCGAACTCGACTTCTCCAATTACCCACAGGTTGGTACGAAGGCGCTCATTCGTCCCGTTGTGCCTTGGGGCTCTCCGTCGGGCCCAACTAGCAGGCGCACAGCGGCGCGTACTATAGGCAGTGATTCGGGACGTTGGACTTTTAACCAACGGGTCAGAGAATCGAGCCCCATTTGTCCCACACTTCCAGGGTTGTGTATGACTAGCTGACGAGGGCCAATACGCCAGAAATGACCATTCAAGTCTCCCTTGTCTTTGTCGGCAATAACATTCTGCCTATACCATGCGCCACTGTGCGGCTGTTGGGTAGGCTCGAGAAAGAGAGCCCCAAGTCCCAACGGGACGAGTGAGTTCCGTAAGAACGATCGGTGAACGCCCCTCCACCATTGTACGTTCCCGATCAAAACCGACAGGACAACGAGCCCGTGGTCAGGGATGTCGGACTTCTAACGAACAGGTCGGGAAATCGAGCTCCAGGTGCCCCACACTTCGGGGTCGGGTATGACTGGCTGACGAGGGCCAATAAGCCAGAAATGGTCATCCCAGTCTCCCTTGTCCTTGCCGGTAATGTTATTTTACCCACATGCTTCTTATTAACTCCCTAGTCATATATGTAAACCAGCAAGCTAGACGATAATGCATCAAGAACAGTTGTACCCTATCCGAATAGTCTTCAGAGAACAGAGTTTCCCAGAGTTCAGCTAAAGGTTCTGAAATCCATGACAAGAAGTCGCCTCTCTCGTTCAGTCTCAGTTTTGGAATTATTGGTAAAAAAATTGAATTCCCGAGGCAGGACACGTTGAATGCCAGGGAACAAAGTGCAGATCAATAAGTTCTACATTCTTACGCGAACCAAGTTGTGAAGATCAGCCTTTGTAAGACAACAGAGACGGGCGGTGGACATGAAATGAATCGAAACGCGCCTCGCCTCGATGGCTTATTTTGCTAAAAGATTAAAAATAAAACGGCTGAATACTTTATAACGTCAGAATTTCTGGCCTTGCTCACCTCATCCAATCTCTGACTTCTACTTTGCCTGGTTTTTTCAAGATTTTGATACTATGTTTAGTACCTAGGTAATGTCAAGCAGTCGTTCTAGCTTCTTCCGCGCACTTGGTGAACCTTCCTTCTTTTTCATTACGACTTCAACGCTGACGTTGTTCACTGAAGCCCGTAGGTCTCTCTGGTCAATCCTTATTTCCTCAAATTTCAGTCTCCTCCATGATTTACACTCTATCCGGCCTTATCTCATGCGCAGTGCAGATAGAGATAATTAATTAGTTGCCTGACAAAATCTCTGCTTTCTCGGGAAACACCCAGTCCCCTCAGAAATTGTCAATTTACGGTGCTTTAAGCAGCCTATAAATTTAGTCCTTTAAGCCCAAAGTGCCTAAAACGACACTGAAACGCCTTGTCCTTTAGCCTAGCCGTATACTGCTGC